GATTGCCCAATGCTTGGCAATGCATTCCCACACCTTGCTGTGGAGTTTCTGCTCGTCTGGCGTGAGGGCACGGCTTGCGTAGACAATGACAACTTCCCTGTTGCCTTGGATTTGCGACAGCACAGCTCCGATCGCTGATCCTGAAGCATCAGTGGTTACTGTTGTGGGGGCATCCGGGTCAAAGTGGGTGAGAAGAGGGGGCTGCGTGAGTGCCGTGCGGTTGGCCTGGAACACCTGCTTGCACTTTGGGGTCCACGCAAAGACTGGGGATATAATCAGGGCTTGTAGTGGGCTACAACTCTGGAAAAGTCCTTGATAAAGCAGCAGTAGTAGCTGGTTGTCTGAACCCATGAGAGGAGTTGTTTTTGATCCTGAAGACGTGGAATGCGACACATGGAGGCGGCTTTGTCTGGGTTCGGCTGCTGACCTTTGCATGAGATAACAAAGCCTAGGAACTTGATTGTCAAGAGGCGAAAACGACACTTGTCGATGGAGACTTTGAGGCCACTATTTCGGAGCAGCTGGAGGGCTTCTTGGAAAAGAAGGGCAAAGGTGTCGAAGGACTGAGCGTATACAAGGACATCGTCAAGGTACACTTTGATACCCGACTTTTCGGGGCCAGTCTGTAGGTCTTGGAAGACTGATTGCATGATGCGGTGGAACGTAAACAGCGCATGTTTTGAGGCCAAACGGCATTTGAGTCCACATGCAGGTGCCGTTGTAGGTGCTGAATGCAGTGTTCTCATAGTCTGGGGGGTGGAGGCTGACTTGCCAGTATGCACACTTCAAGTCCATGGACGCATAGTATGCGGATCTGGCAATGGCTTGGATGATGTCATCCACAAGAGGCAAGGGGTACACAACTGTGATTGTGCGGTCATTCAGAGGCGCATAGTTGACGCAAAGACGTTTCTTATCTCCACGAGATGCATTCGAATCTCGTTAATTCGAACACGCTTAATTCAAACCTTCGGTTTATTCGAACTGACGCTGTGGTCCGGACTACACTATATGTATTTCAATAGGTGAAACCGCCCGGTAATTTGAACGCTTCAGCGCCCGCACCGGTTAATTCGAACATCCCGCGCCGCCGAGCATGCCTTCAGGAGCGGGCTAACCCACGTGGCAGCACCTCCAACGTCTCCAGTTCCAAATAACCATGACAACCGATCACGTGGTGACCTTGAATGCTCTCTTGCGCGGTGCTCTCTTTAACGGTGACGGTGCTGCGCCGCTGCTCTTCGGCGCGTTTTTGGCGGGATTCGGGAGTGCGACAGTTCCGTTTCTTGCCTTGCACTCGCGCGTTACTGCGATTCGACGTGCTTTCAGTGGGCGCGCGACTGAAGTTTGCTGCACCGCTGCTCTTCGGCAGGAATGCGACAGTTCCGTTTCTTTCGTTGCGCTCGCGCATTGCTGCGATTCGACGTGTTTTCGGTGGGCGCAGGACTGACGTTTGCTGTGCCACTGCTTTTCGGCGGGAGTGCAACAGTTCCGTTTCTTGCCTTGCACTCTCACGTTGTTTCGGTTCGGCGTGTTTCCGGTGGGCGCGCGACTGACGCTATCTCGACTCCAAGCGTTATGGCGAGCCGGGGCACGTACTGCCCACCAAAGGACCTCAAGACGAAGGTAAAGATACTTCAAGAAGTTGACCAAGGCTCACTTTCCAAGACGGAAATAGCGAAGAAACGCAGCATCACGAAGAGCACTCGAAGCGCTGAACTCATGCACCGCGCGCTACTTCTCTTGCCAGGAGAATGCGGATGCCGCGTTAGAGCTGGTCTCCAAGCTCCAAGCGACCTTTGTTGATTCACGACTGAGGAACCGCGCACAGGCGTGCATCACGAATTATTTCCCTTTGTGATGGGTGAAAATAAATGTCCTGGAACTCGTCACTCATGTGCTAGCTCGGTGCACATGCGCCGCCAAACGCAGCGCTGCACGTCAGTACTCCATTTAATGAGCTTTCGTTAATTCGAACTTCGTTTACCTAATTGGAAGAAATGTTCGGTCCCCCTCGAGTTTGAATTAACGAGATTCGACTGTACTACGACCACAGGAAAAGCCCACGGGCCTGATGCTGGAAGAATAATTCCTTGGGCCACGAGCTTCTGCACTTGCTTTTCAAGGAACTGTACGTCCTCAGGAGCATACCTGTATGGGCTGTGGCTGTAAGACAAGGCATTTGGCAGCAGGTCTTTGCGATGTTGCGTGCCTGTGAAATGCCACAAGTCGTCTTCGTGGTGTGCAAAAACCATGTGGTGCTGGGCTAGGATTTCCCTTATCGCAGGCCGCTGGCTGGTAGTCAACTGGTCCCCAAGCAGGGCTGGTCGGAGATTCGGGTGAATATCGGCTGGCTCGGTACCAGCTATGGTGGCCAAGGGATTGTCACCAGGATTACTTTGTGGCACGGAATGGGTTTCCTTGACAAGGACTTGCCAGGCACCAAGTTGCCAAAATCGGCTTACTCTAGCGGCCCAATTGATGTGCAACCAATAGCGCAGTCAAGGGCGTAGCCAACATTGAGCTAAACGTCATAACCATTGCCTCTTTGTGGCAGTTGTGATGACCTTCTCTGGGCAAGCGTAATGGGTGACATGAGCAGCGTTTCCTCTGAGCGCTCAGCACTGTTCACGTGATTGGCGAAACGCGCCTGTGCAGCACGCTTCTTGGGAGCCGTCCGGCCGTAGTGCCGTCTCCCGCGTCACAACCGTTGTTGTTGTGTCACCGTTTGGGATCATTGTCTCGGAGTTTCGTTCACATTACGTGCGCAGACTGATGCGGCAATTGCGCAGACGTCACTGTGCAGATGTTGTAGACGCCATAACATGGTGAAGAGTGCAGTGCAGACAACGCTTGTGCCTGGCACATGCCCGCCCTAATCCCATGCGTCGTTGCATCAACGATCGCGTGACATCTCGTTCCACGTGATAGCCATGTTTTTTGCGGCCCGAGGCCAATGTTGCTAGACGGTGCCTGAAGTTTCATTTTAGATTTCGGCTCAACTTTAATGTAAGATTTAACAATATATATGCCATTTCTGCGAAGCAAATGACATAGTGCCTTTTCTTAGTGCATTTTAATGTAAAAACAGTCATTACAGTCGCCTACCAATTTTTCGGACTTCGCAGGGACCGAAAAGACGTCCGAATAATAGAGCACTCTGAAAAATCAGCAGACTGAAAACTTGCTTTTATTACTTCCAAGTGGGCTTGAAAAAGCCGTAAATAGTGCCTTGCTTCAGGTTACCCCTGCGTGCCTTCTGTTAGGTTACGCCTCCGTTTGCGTTGGGCAACTTTCTGTTAGCTTAGAGATCACTGCCTTTTCTTTTAGTGTTATGGTCGAGTACTTTCTGCGCTTCTTAAAGACCCATTGTGGCGGCAGAAGAACAGAGGGGGCCATGACATCCAAGCCAGCTTTGTCCGAACGAGATAACAGGCGCAAATCCACGAGCACAAAATGGCGACTGGCGACGCGCAAGTGGGGCAGAGGTGGCGGAGGCACGAAGGGATGGAAGGAAACAAAAGCAGAATGATGATAATGATGATGATGATGACGTGCAGCTAAATGGAAAAAAAAGGCTAGCGTAGCGTCACCTAGCGGTAGGACTCAGGAGTACTCAACTAGCGCTGCCAAAAAAAGCCGATCCATTTGCAGCCAACATAGAATCCAAAATGGCCGCTTCTCGGTGGTGTTTCCAGCTGATCGTTCCCGACGATTTTATCCGAAAAATCAAACTTTCGGACTTCAAGCTGTCCGAAACATTGGTCGTCAATATGCACTATTTCCTATGGGGTGATTCACGGTTCCTCCTTTAGGTCCGGAATATCGAACAAGTCCGAATTATTGGAGTCCGAAAGAATGGTCGACGACTGTATCCTAAAATTTGCCTATTTGAGCGGAGCTTCGCTTTAACGTAGGTACTTTCTTCTACTATTGCTGAACAACATGATGCTGTTATATCAAATCTTTTCGTAAGCCCACAAACAACAGACTGACAGAGACCGCTCACGACCGAGGAGCTTTTTATTTATGGTGCAACCCCACCATGCACACCGTTTGGCTTAATTTCTGACAGTTTATAACTTTCTTTCTATGTATTCTGCAGTCATAAAGTTAATTTTAAATGAATACCTATTTCTTAACGATGCTCTAATGTCTCGATACCTATTGCATTTATTCGTAGTTTTTACTTCAATATTTACTTTTAATGGACCACAGTTTCTGATATTGAACAGTTGTTTTCTCGACTTTAACGTCTCAATGTCCACAATAATTTACATACGCGGTTTGCTGGATATAGCAAATTAAAATAGTAAGCAATGAGCTATACAAAAAATTTGAATTTTAAATAAAAATGAAAGCTTAAAGTACTATTATTTTTTCATGCAATGAAAACGGAATCACGTCAAATAACGAAAATAACGAGACATAGAAGTATGAAGCATCTTTATGCTTCATACTTCAGTGTATATGCAGTTTCTGCATATCGATAGATTATAAGTGAATTTCAGTTTCGATCGCAGACTTTTCCCATTCAGTTACAGCAAGTTGCATTTTTTCTAATGTCAATCACAGATGGCGACACGTGTTCAAGAGTAGCTTGATTTGCACTTGTCATGTGCCGCTTGGAACGCTACGCGAGAAACAGAAATGGCACCAGACGTGTGCGTGTCGGATGCCTGAATGCCCGCAGCGAGCGTGCCGGAGATGTGAAAACAACAAGCGCGAGGCTGCAAGTGGACCACAGCTGCCTTTGCGCTGTGGTGTAAGGGACTAGAGGACTAGGATTAAAAGAGTCGCCGTTAGATGAGGACGATCTTCACGTTTTGTTCGGACCACATATCTTAGAGACGCGAGCTGATAGCGTAGGCAGCTGCTCCTTTGCTCGAGAACAGGTGCAGCGGGGCCGCGTTCCCCAGAAATCTTGTGCATCAAGAAAGAGGTGAACAGCCAAGAATGTCAATTTCAGGAGAAAGAAAAATACCACACTCTATCAAAGCGCCACCACACACGATTTATTGCATTCGTGCATGGGTCTGGAAGGCGACCCCATCGCCATCTGTTGGTGCAGAATCGCACTAGCCAAGGGCGGGCTTAACGGCTGGGAGTTCGTGCACTTCTCCCAGAAATAGCACACGGCCGGTTGCCTTCTCGCGGATGTAGAAGAGGAAAGGTCTATCGACGACGAAAGGTCTTGGAAGACTTCTTCCTATTTCCACTATTGTTATGCCGGTGGCAACCGTGCCTTCTTCGTTGACCTCGATGGCTGCCTTGTGCCGGACCTCGGTTACCCTCAGCCCTCTGTCGCCGGCGATTCCCGACAGATCGGCGTCGGAGAAGATCGAACGCACACCCAACTTCGTCAGGGCAGGGACGAGGCTGTAGTCCGTTTCCAAGTTGAACTTGGGAAGTTGAATCTTGACAGTATCGTTTTTCAAACTTCCCTGGATTTTTTTAATGGTCTCGACAGTTATGGCGTCCCGTAGTTTGGGAAGTCCCTTTTTCTCATGTGGAAGCACGATTACCATGCAGTGTCTGTCCCCTTTGTAGGACAGTTCTAGGGCTGCAAATTCGGGTTCGAAGGTGAACGGTACGTTATCGAGTCTCGTCATGGTTTCTACCTCAATTTCTTGAGATCCTTTGTTGTAAAAAGGAAGGGGGGATGTATTGTTGGGATTGAAAGGAGTCTCCCAGAGCCCCTTGAAGTAAATGGCATTGAGAATCACCATTACAACGTCTGCGGGAATTTTGAAGCCCAAGATCTTGCCTCTGGTCTTGTTCTTCACCCACTCATTAACCTCGGATTCCATATCAGACTTTTCTGCCCCCCCGTCCACCGACCGGAACATTGCCGCAAAGGTGTCAACGAGCTCCTTCTGGTAACTTTCGAGGACTTTCAGGTTCTTCTCCACAAAGACTGCATTGGCTATCATCAAACTTACATTGTCATCAGTCTGCTGTTGTGCCAGAATCTTTTTGTAAGACTCCAGTATAGATTCTCTGCTGGACAGACCTGCCGAGGTGTGGCCGAGAGCAGAGGAGAGTTCCGTTTCGGACTTGCCCCTGGCGCCGGCGTAGACCATGGCGAGTGCAACAAAGATGCTGGTTGGCGAGAAGAAGATGTTCGATTCCGGTGCTTCGCTGGACAGTTCCTTGAGAAGCTTGAGGGCAAAATGGTTCTGGGCTTGGGCGAGCTTTATATCACTATCTTCAGCATAGCATTCGCTGTCCCCTGCTAGCAGAACGAACAAGACGAGAAAAACCTTTTCGGCAAGCATCATCGAAACTGGTCTTTCATCTGTTTTTCCTCGTTCCTTATTGTGTGTATTTATTCGTTTATGAACAATGGGCTTCTTTGATCGTGGAAACCTTCGGTATATTCGGCCAATGAAACAATGCATATCCACATATATTTTATAGCTGCTCGTGACTTGTTCATCAGTCAAGGATACACGGAATCTGTAAAAATAAGTATCTGCAACCTTCAAGCCCCAAGAATACTAATTTCTTATTCATATTATAGTGATTCGTGTTCGAATGCTGTCATTTAGTTATCCGCAGCTTTGTTAGGTTCTCCACATTCTTGCCTCAGTTGTTTTATGGCGTCATTAAATGGGCTGGAAGGAAACCTTTCTTAAGGTGTACTTTGATGTTTACTACATTTACAAGCTGAGCGGTGAAACTTTCTGCGATTCGAAATTGAACTTTAAGAAAATAACCACACCAAATCAATTCGTGTTTTTTTTTTTTTTAATTTTGTTATTTAAGGATACACGGAATCTTTAAAAATAAGAATGCGCAACGTTCAGGCCCCAAGAATACTCATTTCATATTCATATTATTGTGATCCGTGTTCGAATGCTGTCATTTAGTTTTCCGGAGCTTTTGTTAGGTCCTGCACTTGCTTGCCTCGCTTGTTTTATGGTGTCGTTAAATGGGTAGAAGGAAGCCTTTCTTAAAGGGGGACCTGCAGAAATATTCTTCCACCTGGCGAAAAGACCTCCTCGCACTCTTTTTTGCCCTTTCCCTCTTTGTCTAACTGTATGGTGGGGGAGGGGAAGGTCCCCTTTTGTATTGGCTTCTTCTGAGAGGATAAGCCTAGGATAAGCAGGATTTTTGGCCCCTCGCAAAGCCTAGCACTCCGGGTGGATGTTTTACGAAGCTCGAAGGCTGCACCCTAGCAGTCACCCATTGGAGCTGTCAAATATGTTTGGCTGTAGCCTGTGGCAAAGTAAACGCTTACTGGAAAGCTGCGATGCATCCCCACACCAATTGAACATATCTTTCCTACTTATTCTCTGTTTCTCAAATAAGGAGTGCAGAACGCATGCACGATGATGTGGTGGTTTCAATATGTAAGGATGATTTGCATGCTCATAAAACGTTCAGCACCCTCACAACGCCAGCCTATCACGCTCAAACCTGCCTCATATGGGGAACGATGGAAAAAAATTAATATGTACCAGGCCAAGGCATCTTAGCGGATCCCTTTTTTCGTACAGTGCGCTCAAATTATTGCGTGCCTAATAGCGAGTTCGTTTCACACGCACTGGCACCGTTCGAGTTCTCGCCCAAAATGCATGGCACTCGCAGAGTGTTGCACGGAGAACTGGACTTAAACGAACTCGCCAAATGCACCGAGTGCAGAAGACTGATGCTGCCGCCATCTATGTTGTAGAAAAGGCACCGACCTCAAACCGAAACTAGCGCCTTTCTGTCGGAGTGATGGGTGGGAATGCGAGAGCGCTGTCACTACCAACGTTTATCTACAAACGTTGAACGCTGCAACCTGTAGTTTATTGTTGCGATGGCTTCAAGCAACTCGGCTGTCGTAGGGATAGTTACAGACGGCGTAAATTTCCGCACCCAGCTCTCTACAAAACAGCTGATTGCGATCTTTCAATTCTTATAACCGTTTACACTGAAGAAAACGGATGATGCTGTCCGAGCAGAAGCTTGATCCGTTTGAGCATGGTATTATGCGTGAACCACTAAAAAGGTACGGCTTAAAACTGGTCTGTTGGAATATCCCGTAAAACTTTTCCTGGGACTTTCGATTTCGATCGTCATTACAAGTGGATCAGATATTAGCCTTGGTGAGGACGTCGAGGACGAGAGCTTTCTCGAACAAAATACGACGGGGCAAGTTAACTGGCGTAGGTAAATGTTAAACATGATGATATTGCCCAAGCCTCGGGTAAAGTCACTATGTTTAGATTTCTCCGATGCTTATTTGGCAGTCAGAGATTTCTGCTAAGTGAGTTTTGTCGACAAATGTTAAATTTTTCACCCGCAAACGGATGTTGATAAACATCTCGGGGGCCGCTGGTGCGTTCGTTCTGAGCTTTTCTTGACACACTGGTGGGTGATTTCAGATAAGATCGACCAAAGGGTGGCTGGTCGACATTTTTAAATCAACTGATGTTTTTATATGACATTGTCTAGTGTCTGGTATAAACGAATCCACACTTAGTTTTGACCAGAAAAAAGAATTTGGAGACAAGAAAAATCGTAAGGCAGGGAGAGGTGGACAGTTGCAATAACGCGCACTGATGGAGGGGGCAAGTTTGAAAGTGAATAATTAAAACAATAAAATTAGGAGAATTTTAAAACGTTTTACAAACAAACTATGGGTACAACTTGCTTGTAATATAAAGTAATAATATTTATTAAAAATTTATTTAGTTTTCTAAAAATTGCCAAACATGCCTGCTCGAACGACAAATAGCAAACTTTGGAAATCTGTATCTCATGAAATAATTTAATCATTATTACATAACTTGCAGACATTATTTTACTAACATATGGCTATTATTGAAAAAATAAATAAGGTATCTGAGTGACACAATAGTTACAATATATTTAGGCAAACATGGGAAAAAAATCCAACAAAGAAAAATTCCAATGCGAATAAAAAAAAACACCACCTTCGATTTTTTTTAAATTTGGGTACCCTGTTATACTTTCTTTCGGCATTCATTTCTATTAAAAACATGTTGCATCATTGCACTGTGAAAGAAGAAACAACTCCCCAAAGTAGGGTCCTTTTTCAAAGCCTACACTTAGCAGTGTCCTATACAAGAAGTGACTCTGAGTTCCAGTTTCATGAAACTTGCACAAATCTTTTATATACATTTATTCAGATGAGGTCATTGATAAAAAGAGCGATCGGTCACACAGTAAAAGGGAGGAGAAACTATATACAGCATTTTACATAAGCGTACAAAGTGGTATCATATTAGAGACTAATGATTTGAGAAAAGATGATGCAGTGTGAAGTTGTACCTTCCGGTATATTTTACATCTAGAGTAAAATAAATAACTTTACTTACACACACAAAAACAAAGATATAAAGTAAGATTGGCTGTGTATTTACGATTACAAACAATTTCAGGTGACGGATGCCATAGTGCCTAACTGGAGCAGCTTCGATACTCTCGGTGTATGAATGAATCGTGGCAAGCCGATATATTTTATCCTGCTCGAGGATAACATTTTGGGATTTTTTTTATAGTGATCAGATAAAAATTATTAGTAACCACCAACAAAAACAGTAGGTTAAATACCCCGTGAAGAAAATTGTGATAAATAAGATGTCCCTGCATTCAAAATGAGCAGTCCTTGGGAAATCAAATTCGGCACTTTACGCTAAGGTTTTCCTCGCTGTACCCATTTAATAAAGTTGCTTCCAAGCAGATCCGACTGTCCGTGCTACATATACGTCACAGGTCCCTTCTGTTGATGACTTGCTGAGCCGCCACGTGTGCCAAGACTGAAGGCAAGGGAAGGCGCGCACCGTCAGCCACTCTTCTTTTTTTTGTTCACGATACCGAACAACCTCATTTTCGTCCAGATATACAAGATGCACGCCTTTCAGTTTCTTTGATAGAACGCTCACCATTGTCCTGGCCGTCTGAATTGCGCTTACTGAACGTTCTCTCAGGTTGTTCAGCGTGGCCTGGTGCTTCACGAGTCCGCCAACTCCGTCACATGCATTTTTCCCATGTCCAGATGCAGAAAATAACCACTGGGCTTGTGGGCAATTGTCCTTTGCAAATTGGTGAAGCTGGTAGCGATTCTTGAAATGACTGGCGGCGCCGTCACTTACGTACGTCACGTACGAGTATACCGCAACATTGTCTTCAACCCACTCCTTCACTTTTTCTAGAGCCACGCAAGCGTGAGCGGCGTCGTGACACAGGTCCTCACTGAGGATGGCAAAGCTGTTTGTAGATTTTCTTGTCGTCACTACACATGTAAATATCGAAACTTGTTTTTTTTTTCCAGTGATATGCTTGCACTTCGTCAGGAAGCACGATGGTCCAGCTTTCAGCAAAGTCAAAATGAAAGACAATGCTCCCGCGTTGCATGCACTGTTTTTCATCGTAGATCGCTTTACCTTGCGTTTGCCGGATATGGTTGTGAAGTACCCAACTTCCAACCGTCACTTGGATGACTTTTAGGAAAGTCTCAGGTTCCAAAGTTTTTTTCACAAGGTCGCCGGACTCCCATGTTGCAAGCACAATCACTTCACCCTCCGGGATATCAAGTTCCTGGAGTGTAAGAAACTGGCCTTTTGGGCAGTGATCACAGTCTCCTTGAAGGCACAGTTCTGTTGCTGGGTCGCACAGAAATGCCGAGTTCATTTCACCAGTGTTGAATGTTGAGCCTGTAACGTTCTCTGGAGCGGCAATACAAAGATAATAATTGGCGCAGCGCACACAAACGCACACTTCCTGGTGTGGAATACATTGGACCCATCTAGGGCGCAACGAATAAAATTTCGTTAGCCCAACGCCGGAATCGGGATGCTTGTCTTTGTATATACGGAAGGCCTCTCGTATTGAGCGTGTCATGAAGCACTTTGGCACGAACGTTTTCTCTGCGTTGAGCATGACAGAGATGACGTCCTTCTGGTTGGGACTTTGGCGCGAACATTGTAGCTCGTCTTTCGTGAAGTACTCTAGGGCAGCAGACAGGTTCTCAGGGCTCACCTTGCACCTCGTGTAAGGATCCGGCTCATACCACACGCCATGCTTTTCCTTGAGTTTTCGGGATTTACTGATGAGGTACATTGAGGCCTGTGGAATCATCTTTTGAACCTCATTCTTCGTCAGTGTTGACGGCAGGAGTGTAAGCAGTTGACAACGTTCCCGGAGAGAGGTGGCGGTTTCAAAGGCCTGCCGAAAGTTGTCCACCCACTCAGTGCATGTGGAGCATGTTGGTTCGGACGACCCCGATGGTGCGTCCCCGTCGTACGCAATACGTAGCCTTGAG